CTAGAGGAAAACCTGGTTCAGTCTGCTTTCCAACAAACACTGGGAGACAAATTCACCGTTCAGCAGGACAATAACCTAAAACACAAGGCCAAATATACAGTAGAGTTGCTTACCAAGATGACACTGAATGTTCCTGAGTGGCCTAGTTACAGTATTGACTTAAATCGGCTTGAAAATCAATGGCAAGACTTGAAAATGGCTGTCTAGCAATGATCAACAACCAACTTCACAGAGCTTGAATATTTTTTTAAAAGAATAATGTGTAAATATTGTACAATCCAGGTGTGCAAAGCTCTTACCCAGAAAGACTCACAGCTGTAATCGCTGCCAAAGGTGATTCTAACATGTATTGACTCATAGATCAGAATACTTCTGTAAATGAGATATTTCTGTATTTAATTTTCTATAAATTTGCAAACATTTCTAAAAACATGTTTTCACTTTGTCATTATGTATTGTGTGTAGATGGGTGAGAAAAAATAATATGTAATCCATTTTGAATTCAGGCTGTAACACAACAAAATGTGGAATAAGTCAAGCGGTATGAATACTTTCTGAAGGTGTTTCTAATGTAGGTATACTCAGTGTATAGTTAAATGCACTAAAGTGGAACAATGGGTACATATTGAAGATGTGCATGCTCATCCCCAGAATATTTTTACATGTCTATTTTCTAAGGATAAAGCTTTAACTTTAACAACTTCTTCATAGTTAAGAACACTATAACAATATGGAAGAAAATGAAACGTATTCTATAAGAACCAATATCACTCCCTAACAACACAACCCTATGGAAGAATCCTTGGATATCTTTTCAGAATTCACCGATAAATTGGTCCACATGGAAGACTAAAGGCATAGAACAACCGTAAATGACTTGGTAATAGGAAATACAATTATTTATTTGACAGAATTAAAAATCAATTTTGGACTGACCTATGTAGATATTTTCAAATAAATGCAACCTAAAAGTTTCATATCAAGAAATTTTGATTTGAAATCTTTTGGACATCAGAGCAATCTTGAGGGAATCCTATTTGAGAAAAGGATATTCTTATGAAATGTCAAATATACAAATCCTATCCAACTGACAATCTCTCAGACAAAAAAATACATGCTACTGGATCCAAGACCTAAAAGGAACTGATATTGGCACAAGATGGAGGGATTGTTAATAAGCCTGTGTTAACCTTAGACCTTATTTTCGGCGTTTATTCCAAAATCCTATTCTTTCCCCATTCATTTTGCCCCTAGGAATGGCAGAACGAACCAGAGGTAAATCATTTCTGGTTTTTAGGACTATAGGGCATTAAAGCCAAATTAAGTTGGTTAAGATGGCGTCTCATGGAGACATAATATGCGCAGTTTGAGCTACTCCAGGAAATGACGTTGCAGGCTAGCTCAGTGCTGCCCCTCTCATTGAGTAACTCAGGTTGAATGCCGACCGGGGTACTGGCTGCCATTAGCAACTAAATTATCCTTATAACGTATTTGTGCGATTTTTAAAATAACCGGTTCAAGGACATACATCTGGTTTATTAGAAGCAATTATTGGTACTTAATTCTCCTAACCTTCTACGAAAAAGTCGTAGCTGTATCTAAGTGTTTTTAGGATATCTCGTTGTTGCCTACCCCGCAGAGGGTGCATGCATGTAGACCTTGAACTGGAAAACTAGTTTTACATAGCACGTTCTCGTCAAATACACATTTGACACTGCATGCCCGCTTTAAATAGAGTATTCCCTTTGAGCTAATGGCCTGTGAAGAGTTCAGGATTCAGGAGAAAACAACATCAGAGACAGAAGAAAAAGCTTAAAACCCTCTGTTAATAATACATAATCTACTAGGCTCTGTATTGATGAAGTTCTTTCATGCAAAGGAAATATGTTTATTCCGCACAGCGAGTTATAGTTTCATAAAGAAAACCCATTGATTATTTAGTGTTCCGTTATCTTATGCAGAGCATCACCCCAATGGCTGTCAGAGTGGAGAAAGTCAGGGAGAAAGATGCTGCTTGTTTTGGTGAAAACGAAACATCCAAAGATGTTTAAGCCCACATGAGATCAAATACATTTAGGTTTTTATAAAGATCAGTAGAATTCTAACATTATAACACACGTGGGATGTCTCTCAGTGTTGGCACTGAAGCTGATTTTCTAGTTAAATAACTACTCTGTCAGTATGGTCTTGTAAATACATGATTAATGAGGGCAAAAACATTCATACAGTGTACCACATTACCATTATTTGTATTTACCAAATATTGTATTATTAGACAAGAAATATTAGTTTACCCTGTCTATTCTACATGTGAAAGAAAGGTTGCATTTTCTTTTTCTGATAAACTTTCATTTTATAATCAGAAGAGATCAGAAGTAAAGTGCAGCATTCCACTGCAGTTCAGTTTTCCCTCCAGTAGAGTGCAGAATTTCCTGCTTTTTTAGACTGGCCACCGTTCCCATAGCAACGATTACAATAACCCATGTAGTGAGTGATGTTGCCACTTTACCACTTTTTCCAGACTTCAGTTATGTGTAGAAGCTAAGTAATAGCTAAGCATACTTGCTAGTCGGTAACCTATGTGAGGAGGGTGGACATTCCATTGAGGAGACTGGACCTTCCATTGACTCTAAAAATCCGGAGGAGAGAATTGCAGTTTATAGCCTCAGGATAGCTGCACGAAATGAACAGGGCCGGATTAAGAAATCATAGGTCCCGGGGCTTTGTTTTTTTCATAGGCCAGATTGTACAAGATTAGCAGGAAATATACAGTATATATGTCATAGGCTACAGTAGGCTACTAAATAACATTTCCAGTGGCACACTCACTCACCTAATGATGAAGCTGGAGCCATACGCTACTCACGGTGATGGCCGATGTGCTCGTCGTGGCAATAGCCTATCTCAAGATGAGCTACTTTGAAATACAGTGCTGCAGTTAGCTAAAATTTGGGAGTTGTTGAGAACACATTTTTTCTATTGGTTCTACAGACAGATTCGTCTTCTCTTTTCAATAGTAGGCATTTGCTTTCCAAACTGTACGTTCTTCCCGCGATTGTATTTTGAAATCTGCAAAATGCAAACCGACAGCTGCAACCAACCATAGAAATATAATCCGTAGATGGCAGTTCCGATTCAAGTCAGGACTGGCATACATTGCTAGTAAGTATTCAGACCCTTTGCTATGAGACTCGAAATTGAGCTCAGGTGCATCCTGTTTCCATTGATCATCCTTGAGATGTTTCTACAACTTGATTGGAGTCCGGCTGTGGTAAATTCCATTGATTGGACATCATTTGGAAAGGCACACCTGTCTATATAAGGTCCCACAGATGACAGTGCATGTCAGACCAAAAATCAAGCCATGAGGTCGAAGGAATTATCCGTGGAGCTCCAAGACACAGATCTGGGGAATGGTACCAAAACATTTCTGCAGCATTGAAGGTCCCCATGAACACCGTGGCCTCCTCCATCATTCTTAAATGGAAGAAGTTTGGAACCACTAAGATTCCTAGAGCTGGCCGCCTGGCCAAACTGCTTCAGAATGCCTTGTTTTGCCGATTCCTACCAGAACCCTACACTGTCTCCTCTCCTTCCATTTAGGCACTTTGCGGCCATCGACGCCAAAAGGTTTGAGGAGGTGAGGCTGATGAACGAGGCAGCGCCCCCTACTGCCAAGGCGCTGGTGGAGAAGTCCCTGGACACGGCCCGGCTGGTCCACGAGCAGCAGCTGGGCCTGGCAGCGCCCCCTGCTGGCCTTCATGGAGCGCTGCGGCCCCCTCCAGCCACAGAGACCGGCCCAGAAGACCGCGCACCGAGCCGTCTCCGAGCTGCTCCGGGCTTGGGGAAGGGGAAGTACCAGGGGGCTGGGCATGTAGCTGGGGTTGGGGTTGGGCCTGGGGCAGAGAGCCCTGGGTTGGCTGTGGAGGTGTATGAATCAGGAGCAGGGCAGGAGAGTGGGAGCAGCGGGGTGGAGATGGAGTGGGGGAAGCATGGTGGGACATGTCGGTTAAGACTGTCAAGAAGCTCCTGGAGCTGCTGTGTGACGAGGCGGTGAGCGGGCTGTCTGTGTGAAAGAGGGATAGCGATAGGAAGAGGAAACCTGTTATCTAACTATAATGGTTCAACATTTAGTTTAGCCTTACAGTTCTCTTTCTCTCTCTCTTTCTCTCTCTCTCTCTAGGGTTTCCTAATAGAGTAAACTCCTGAGGCTCCTCACTCCACTGGAGAAGGATGAACAGTCCCTCATGAAGCTGGACATCTTCACTGAGTTACACTGTAATGTTACTTGTACTTATTCATTCACTGTTACTGGCTTTGGTTTTTCCATTTATATTTTGAGGAGCTGTTCCTAATGTTTTATACACTCCGTGTAGATTCAATCCTATAAAACAGGTGATATAAAGAGCGGTGACTGATTGAGCATAGATTATTTATTTTTTATCTGTTTGTTCCCAGCATTGTTCTGACTGAGGTTCAACCACATCAGTCTGAAACAGAACACAGAGCTACGGCTGCTGCTGCACCAATACGTCAACACCAGGGTGAGTGTGTGTGTAAGTGCATCTAGCGGGTTTATGTCCAGAATGTTTGTGTGCTAATTTAGAGACGTTCACTGACAATCTCAATTCTTCTGATAGGTTAATTCTGAGCTGGATATTCCGCCCACCCAGGTGATGCAGTTGACTCCTGAGTGAATGAGCTGACTAATGAGGAAGAGAAGAACACCCACTAACCCAGTGTAGTGGAAATGCTTAAATATTTTATGAGGAAAATAAAGCACTTTACAGTATGTGAATTGATGATTAACATTTAATGTAAAACATGAGTGCATAATGGGAGTATTACCTAGTAGTAAAGTAGAATTTTACACCAAAAATATTGAATAATAATGCAATGAATTAGAGCTTGTACAATACAAACAATTTATAAGATGCAACTACATTCAGGGATCAGCCACATAGAGTGTAAGTTAAGTTTGCATGTGTGTGGTTGTGTGTTCAGCCAGCGACATTGAAGATCTTGTTGCTGAGGGCAGAAGGCAGGGAGAAGAAGAGCAGGCCCAGGAACAGAAGTCCCAGGACAGCCCCAAGCAGCAGAACACAGTGCAGCTTATACTGCCTCCAGGCCAGGATACATACCACACGCACCGGGCTCAGCAACCACGACAGACTGGTGTTCGGACGACTGCAGGGAGAGATGGAGATGTTATACACACACACACACACAACAACAATATGCACACACTCTACCCTCAACGAGTCGTATAGATACTCATGCAACCTCTGGCACACACAAGAACACAGCGACACATATAAAATGTAACCGGATACAAACCTAACATTTCCCAAAATAGTTTTTTCAATTCATTCAATTTATTTCAAATCATTGTTAAAACAGACAAAAAATAAAGATTGCACACTTTAACAGAAATATAAATACACTTTATCATACAAACAGGCGAGAGTAAGTGCAAACATAAATCTTTTTTTTGTTGGTTTGTATTTTGTGAACACGGGATCACTAAAATGACTGCAACACAAATTATGTCATAACTGCAGGTTGACGTTTTTTGGGATGAGTCTAGTCCTTGAGGCAGAACTGAGCGAGCTGCACTCAAAATTGGCTATTGCAAAAATGTATGTAAACTAAAATTAGCATGTTGGCATTAATTGAAGGCTAGGGTTATCCATTAGGGTTAGCAGTGTGGTTAAAGCTAGGGTTAAGTTCAAAATAAGATTTTATGACTTTGTGGCCAGGCCAGCTAGTGACCACTCTGCAGAGCTGCCTCCAGAACAAGATTCATGCCAAAAAATGCCAACCCGCATCATAACTACAGGTAGGTCAAGCAAGGGAAAACATGAGGGAACTGCCCACAGCAAACCAAGTCATCTCAAATCAAATTGTATTCATCGCCTACACAGTTTACAGCAGGTATAAAAGGTGCGGTGCAATGCTTACGTGCTAGCTCCCTCAACATTGCAGTACAATATCAATAATAATCAAAAGTAAATCAAAAACAAGTAATTAGAGGAAGGTAGTATGCATAGTAATAAAACTGATAATCTGATAGGCCGATAGGGCAAACCAAGTAATCTGATAGGCCGATAGGGTAGAGGTCAAGAGGCCAAGCCAGCCTCCCTATTACCGTACCTCTCATGTGCTATAAGGTGCACATAACCACTTAGGAATTTCTGCATTGTAAACAAAAAAAGATAATGTCAAGATCCGGACATAAATAAAAGGTTTAGTAACGGACTGTAAAGCTACAATGGAAAGAAGGTCATGCCTTGTCAGATGACCATATAAACTGAATCACTGTGAGATGTTAGAATACAGTTGCATGCGTATTTGTCTCTAAGCCTACTGTGCATTCACTGGATAACAGTAACAATCTATAAGAGCATTCCAGGTCACTGAAGGAAGGGCTGAAGAAATAAGCATTGTTCCATTAATTGTTGGTGTTTGAGGACACAAATTAAACCAAGCTTAGCTCAGTAGTTGATTCATATTCAACAGTTATTCTTGTATTCTTTGTCCCTCTTTAAATCTTGTTAAACTAGGTCCTAGGAAAATAGACATCTGTTGTTCAATCTCTTCATCATTATTTAAGATGTGTGCAAAGGCTGCAAGAGCTAAAGAGGAACATTATTGAACTGTTGGAAACAATCCATTTTTTGTCAAGTTCAAGTGATCACACCAACCAACCCCATGATTCCCATTTAAAAACAGGCATACAATAGAAGTAATGGGAAATATTACAACATCACTTGAGAAATGTGTGTCCATGCATGACCAACAGTACCGATCAACTGACCACTAACAATGTCCTTCTAAATCATTTAAGTCATAAATAAACAAAGAAATAGATCAATAAATAAACAATCTCTAAAATGTTACATCAGGGTATGCCGCATCATTGATGATCAGATCAGGGGCAAGACGTTTGATTGGTTAGTCAGTGGTCAGTGCAGGGATGGTTAGGCCCACTGTGCTACTGTAGAGTAGAAGATACAGTGAGGGGAAAAAAGTATTTGATCCCCAGCTGATTTTGTACGTTTGCCCACTGACAAAGAAATGATCAGTCTATAATTTTAATGTTAGGTTTATGGTTTATTTGAACAGTGAGAGACAGAATAACAACAAAAAAATCCAGAAAAACGCATGTCAAAAATGTTATAAATTGATTTGCATTTGAATGAGGGAAATAAGTATTTGACCCCTCTGCAAAACATGACTTAGTACTTGGTGGCAAAACCCTTGTTGGCAATCACAGAGGTCAGGCGTTTCTTGTAGTTGGCCACCAGGTTTGCACACATCTCAGGAGGGATTTTGTTCCAGTCCTCTTTGCAGATCTTCTCCAAGTCATTAAGGTTTCGAGGCTGACGTTTGGCAACTCGAACCTTCAGCTCCCTCCACAGATTTTCTATGGGATTAAGGTCTGGAGACTGGCTAGCCCACTCCAGGACCTTAATGTGCTTCTTCTTGAGCCACTCCTTTGTTGCCTTGGCCGTGTGTTTTGGGTCATTGTCATGCTGGAATACCCATCCACGACCCATTTTCAATGCCCTGGCTGAGGGAAGGAGGTTCTCACCCAAGATTTGACGGTACATGGCCCCGTCCATCGTCCCTTTGATGCGGTGAAGTTGTCCTGTCCCCTTAGCAGAAAAACACCCCCAAAGCATAATGTTTCCATCTCCATGTTTGACGGTGGGGATGGTGTTCTTGGGATCATAGGCAGCATTTCCTCCTCCTCCAAACACGACGAGTTGAGTTGATGCCAAAGAGCTCCATTTTGGTCTCATCTGACCACAACACTTTCACCCAGTTCTCCTCTGAATCATTCAGATGTTCATTGGCAAACTTCAGACGGCCCTGTATATGTGCTTTCTTGAGCAGGGGGACCTTGCGGGCGCTGCAGGGTTTCAGTCCTTCACGGCGTAGTGTGTTACCAATTGTTTTCTTGGTGACTATGGTCCCAGCTGCCTTGAGATCATTGACAAGATCCTCCCATGTAGTTCTGGGCTGATTCCTCACCGTTCTCATGATCATTGCAACTCCACTAGGTGAGATCTTGCATGGAGCCCCAGGCCGAGGGAGATTGACAGTTATTTTGTGTTTCTTCCATTTGCGAATAATCGCACCAACTGTTGTCACCTTCTCACCAAGCTGCTTGGCGATGGTCTTGTAGCCCATTCCAGCCTTGTGTAGGTCTACAATCTTGTCCCTGACATCCTTGGAGAGCTCTTTGGACTTGGCCATGGTGGAGAGTTTGGAATCTGATTGATTGATTGCTTCTGTGGACAGGTGTCTTTTATACAGGTAACAAGCTGAGATTAGGAGCACTCCCTTTAAGAGTGTGCTCCTAATCTCAGCTCGTTACCTGTATAAAAGACACCTGGGAGCCAGAAATCTTTCTGATTGAGAGGGGGTCAAATACGTATTTCCCTCATTAAAATGCAAATCAATTTGTAACATATTTGACATGCGTTTTTCTGAATTATTTTGTTGTTATTCTGTCTCTCACTGTTCAAATAAACCTACCATTAAAATTATAGACTGATCATTTCTTTGTCAGTGGGCAAACATACAAAATCAGCAGGGGATCAAATACTTTTTTTCCTCACTGTAGATGGACGTTCTTAGTTTTTAGTAGTCCAAGGGATAGATAAAAAGTCCAAGGGATAGATAGAACGTCTTTGAGTAGAAGGTGTGTTCAGCAGCACTGCCAAGGTTAGAGGGGTGGTGGGGCGGGGGCAAGGCTGGGATGCTGAGGGAGGGGACTGTGGGCCTGCAACAATCTTGTCTCCGCATGTATCCACCTTTCCCTCCCTCATTCTCTTCCTTACGCCCTCTCTCAGCAACACTGAAGCGAGTGTGTTTGGGGAGAGGGGACTGAGGAAGAGACTAGGGGATGTGGTAGAAACAGTAGAAATGGGAAGTGTGCGGTATCTCACCCACCACCCCTCCCCTGCGTCTAGACCACCTCCAGGCCATCTCCATGCCACCCTGGTACACACCCTGCAGCCCCATTCAGCCCCCTCAGGCCCCCAGCAGCTTCTTGACCAGGTAGCCAGGCATGCTGTAGAGGAAGAGCCCCAGCATCATGAGCAGCAGCAGGGCCACAATGATTTTGATGATGAGGCACTTGTAGCGGTTACACACCAGGTAGCGGATGGCCTTCAGCGGGCTCAGGAACCACAGGAAGGTGGTGTCTGGCCGACTGGGGGAGGGGGGAGGGGAGGTTAGAGAGGATGGGTGAGGGGATAGGGGGGGTAGATAGTGGGTCATATGATGGACAGGATGGGGGGGTGACGGTTAAAAGGGTGAAAAGGAGGATATAGGGGAAGGGAGTGGAGAAGGACATGGGGTAGATGGAGGGCGGTTGTGGGAGAGGTAGAGGTGGGGGACAGAGGGGTGAGTGGGATGAAGGGAGGATAGTGGATGGGGTGAGGAAACGGTGATAAGGGGGGCAGAGGTAGAGGATAAAAAGAGAAAAGAGGAGAGCCAGTGTTAGTGGTTTGTAAGTCATATATGATGTATGACTATTTCTAACTGATCACATTTCTCCATGCACTACTACGCAAACAACCCTCTTTATGAAATAACTACATTATTTTTATTAAGCAAAAGACCACTGCACAGTCAGCTAAGCACAGATATATTCCGCAGACAATGAAGACATAAAATGGGACGATGATTGTTTGACATTTTTGTCATTTGGCAGACCTTCTTATCCAGAGTGACTTACAGGAACAATTAGGTTTAAGTGTCTTGCTCAAGGGCACATTGATCGTTTTTTCACCTAATTGGCTCAGGGATTCGAACCAGTGACCTTTCAATTACCAGCCCAATGCTCTTAACCGATAGGCTACCTACCGCCCATATAATGACAGCCCTTATTGTTAATTTGCAGTTAATGTTGTTACCAACTTGAATAAATGTATTTTATGTTCAAATGTATTTTTTATCTTACATTTAGATTTCAGCAAGAATTTCAATGTACATTTACAGCATTATCCTGGCACCAGAGTTGCCAGCTTAGTACTGTAATTTTGCTGTACAGCAGAGATGCTGTTATATATTTTACAGTACTATTTCCCTTACTGTAAAACATTACAGCATCCCTGCTGTGATGTACATTTACAGCAGGGATGCTGTATTCTGTAACATGTTTTACAGTAAGGAAAATGGTACTGTAAAATATATTACAGCTTCTCTGCTGTAAAGCAAAATTACAGTATTAAGTTGGCAACTCTGTAGAGGACTAAACTCCCCTCCATAGTGAAGGAAGTTTATGATTCATTTCACCAACAGATTGGAGCAGAGACCAGGCTTTGTGGAATCTAGCTCTGACTACATCGATTCAAGGTCAATACTTTTCAAAAAAAGTAAATCATGAAACACCTACCTGGTACCCATGTTCGTCCTCTGTTATTGTATGCCTTTCTTTGTTTGTTGAAATCCATACTTTTTAAATAAATTAAGATGGCAACTCATCACGGATACGCAATTGAATCTCCGATTATGTTTGTAAAATAAACCTAGGCTATAAAATGATTGTAATATGTACAAAAAACATATCTTTCTATGATTTCTCTCTCTCGTTATTTCTCAGTATCTCTGGAAATAAAAAAGTTATGCGCAACATTTAGTTTTTACTGGCACCTGTAATGATCTGCAAAATTTGATTGGTCGACATACCATCTGTAGATTGTGTGATTTGATTGGACAATTAGTATTTGGAGACCTAGGCCTACCTCATCGGACATTCAATGGGCACATGCGCATTCACACTAAGTTGCCATCTGAGAAACAGAAACGAGCAAAAAGTCGGTGGTTGTATTTGATTAACATTTATTGAAAAAGTACAGATTTCAGCAAACAAAGAAAGGCATACAACTACAGAAGACAAACATAGGTACCAGGTAGGCGTTTCATTATTATAATTTTTTTTGTTAAAGTATTGACCTTGGGCGAATCGATGTAGTCGGAGCTAGATATTCCACAAAGCCTGGTCTCTGCTCCACTCTGTTGGTGAAGTTCATCATAAACTTCCTTCACCATGGAGTGGAGTTTAGTCCGCTAGCAACTCTGGTGCCAGTATAATGCTGGTCATTTACAGGGAAAAGTTTGACAGTGCATATAATAAAGTCTTAACCTAAAGCCGCCAGTGTAATGACAGTGTAGGGCACAATGGCAGACTCATGATTGACAGGTTGAGAGACGAGAGAAACAATGCAAAGAGGAAACGGAACCGGACACAATCTGTGTATATCTGAGAAAATACAAAGATTGAGAGACAGACCTGAGATGCGGAAAATAGGACCTGAAAAGATAGACAAGAGATGAAAGAGGTTGAAGGATAGAAGAAAGAGGTTATAGAAAAGGAAGGTGGTAGAAAGCGGAGAGGAAGATGTGATAAAATCCATTGAGTGACAGATACCGCAGGAGATGGGAGGAAAAGGATAGACAGAGAGAGAAGCGATATGGGATCAGTAAAAAGGAGGAACAGAGGAGAGAACAGGAGAGGACCAGAGAGAGGGTAAATGAGAAAGAAAAAGTGACAGAAAAGGAGGAACAGAGGACAGGAGAGGGGACGCTAGGATAGGAGAATAGAGAGGGGGCTACCAGTGGCCCTGATAGGTCTCAGCACCCTCAGGCCCCCAGCATCTTCTTGACCAGGTAGCCAGGGAAGGAGTAGAGGAATAGACCCAGCAGGAGTAGCAGCAGCAGCAGGCCCAGGGCCTTGAGGATCAGCCAGCGGTAGTTGTGCCAGATGAAGTAGGGGATGGACTTCAGAGGGTTCACAAACCACATGAGACTGGTGTCCGGGCGACTTCAGAAGGAGGGGAGGAGGAGGAGAGGAAGGGAGGGGTGGAGGGGATGTAGATGGAAGGAAAGACAACGCAGGTTGGAGGGGAGAGAGGGAGGCAACACAGAGAAAGGAAACAGAGGGAAACGTGAAGAGATGACATGAAGAGAACAGTGTGATGGTGTGAAAGTGTGTTCACATTGCAACGAGGTACAGGTGTCAAAATAGACTGTATTTCTTATTATTATTTCTAAACCATTGTGTGCATCACATATCCTCTGAATAAGCCTGTGTGGCTCAGTTGGTAGAGCACAGTGCTTGCAACGCCAGGGTTGTTAGTTCGATTCCCATGGGGGACCAGTGCGAAAAATAAAGAAAGGTGTATGCACTCACTACTGTAAGTCGCTCTGGATAAGAGAGTCTACTAAAATGTAAACCATTATCAGCTTCTGATGGATGCAGGATGAGAGGTTTTGAAATAAATGACCATTTGGGAGAAATACAGTCTCTTTTAACACTTGCACAGTGGTTTTCTGCATAATGTGAATAGAACCCCGGAAGGAAGTGGAGGAGTATAGGAAAGTTGACCATGTCTGACTCTGTGCCATTATTTTCTGTTTCCCACCTTCGCTTTTAACATTGAGTTATTAGTGATTGTGTACATTTTGTCTGTATGTGTATGTGTGTATAGTCTTAGTGTGAGTGTGTGTGTATACTGTAAATGTAAATATCTTACTTTGGTTTCTCCAGTGGGTCAGGCTCATTGCGTCCCAGACCAACAGGACTTTTCTCTGCCTCCTCTGCCGACATCAGATGAAGCTCCGCCTCCACTTTACCCTGAGAGGAAGACACAATCATTCCCATGATCTCTCTCCTCTCCTCTCTCTCCTCTCTCTCCTCTCTCTCCTCTCTCTCACCGTGAGTTCCATCTTGTCGTTCTCGTCGCGGGCCACGAATGGCCACCAGCCCTTGACTCTCTTCTGTTTGAAGATGGATATACAGGGCAGCTCTGCCTGGTTCTGGACCATGTTTATAGAACACTGCTTGGCTGTCTTCGCCCCGCGGGAAAACCTGTTCAGGTCCAGCTCTATCGCACCTGTCAGGAGAGACAATACATGACATTAGAAGATAACTGAGGCAATATCTGAGGAGATACAAAGACAAAGAGGTAGAGACAGACTGAGACACAGAGAGAAGGACCTGGAGAGAAAGAGGACAAGAGTTGAAAGAGCTTGAGGGATGAGAGAAAGGAGATATATATGGCAGAGCGAATGGAGAACATTTAAGAAAAATAAAAAGAAGAATGCCTAGAGTTCTAGAGAGCTCCAGCAGTGTAGGCCTACCTAGGAAGTCATCAGCAGAGAAGTGGTCAGCGTCCCAGACCTGCAGGGTGAGGCGTGCAGGGATCTTGTACTCGGTCTCGTCCCAGGAGAACATGGACTCCTTTTTGGAGATGACGATCTTCTCCTCAGCCATCAGGTAGTCGAAGGGGAACACGAAGCGCCAGTTGAAATTCCCCTCGCCCGTCAGAGAGTGGTAGTGGACGTCTGTGTCTTGCTTGTCCTCCTGCTGACCCTTCAGCCAGCTGGGTTAAAGGTCAAAGGTCATACGGGGTTAGAGGTGAGGGTCATGTTGACCTGATGATGTAGTAAATAGAGTATAAGGACTGTGTTATTATTGTGTTCTTTTAGCATATTAACAAGCTTCACTTATCATGCTCTGTGTGAAGGTTGTCTGTGAAATTTAGGCAGATGCAGTGAAGATCAGATCACCATTTTACATCAGTTAATGTGATTTGAGATTGCTATGGATCATTCATAGTATGACTCAGTATGTGTTGTATGCATTACAGGTCTGGTCCACTGAATACACAAAAAGGGATGTTAGTATTTGAAAAGCAAAACACGTATGGTGCGACCCTCCAATAAGAAACCAGCCAGTAATGAGAAATGATTATTAATTCAATCAAATTGAAACATGGCTGTGAAATAGTGGTCATAGTGTGTGCACCTAGGTGAATTCTATAAAAAGTGTACCACCGTATAACAACTGAATAAGAATAGAGTTTAAACTGTGTATTTAAATACAAATGACCTGATTTGGTGTTGGACGGTCACATAATTACAAATGCCATGCACACACAAAGCTTTACAAAAAGAGTCAAATCAATTATTTAAAAAGCCTTTATGACAGTCCATTCCTTCATTGGAGGGAAGATGCAGATACGAGATTAACATTAACAGAAGTGTCATACAATGCAAATCTAGTCTCAATGCAGGCTCAGCACAGTGTGGAGTGCAGACTGAGTTTATCCGCTGCAGTGGCGCCAAGTGGCCAGTGGTTGGTGAGCAGGGTTGGGTTCAATTCCATTTCAATTCAGAAAGGAAAGCAAAATTCCAATTTCAAGAATTGAAAATGTATCTTAGAAAATGTATGGCAGTTTAAAATTCTTCAACTGGAATTTCAACAAATTTTCTGAATGGACTGAATTGAAACCCTGAAGGTGGGCACATTTGAGAAACTTTTCTACGACTTTGAATGTCCATTAGTATTGATATACTATCAACAGCATCATTAATCAGAGGCAGCAAATGACAATACAATTGCAAAAACAATATGGAATCCAGTCCATTTTCCATGCAAGCATTTTTCGCTAATGCTGTCATGCATGAGACTTCCTGGAATCGCGAGTAGTTTTGACCCCTGCCGAAGACAACCTACAACTGTTGTAGGAATGCAGGACCATACCATTTAAACTAATGATAGTAAGGATGATTAGCAATTGGCAAGTCACAATGGAATACTGTTATTGAGTTATCCTAGCTTATATCCAATTTAATGTGCATGAGAACAGAGAATTGTTTTTCTTCTAAGTGTGTCATTCACAGAACTTATTGCAAACCGTTTGCAATCCATTATCTGGTTAATTCAATAATGATTAGTGAATTTCAAATTAGTAGATGGCCTAGCCCTAGTGTCATTTGTTGACACGTTGACCTCTTTAGGCTGTTTAAGTGGTATGGTCCTGATTGGCTTCCTCTGTCTGTAGGCGTGAAGGCGTTGTGGTTTACTGCGTGCTAATAGGAGGGCTGAGGGAGAAGGGTTGGGTCTTGAGCAGGGGAGCCGCGTGCTGGTTGGATAGCTGAGGGAGGGGAGGGGAAGGAAAGGGGAAGGGGTTTGTACGAGTCATGCGATGTAAACGTGTGTTTTACCCCCTGACATAAATGTCAGACATCTTTTCTCCTGTCATGAAAGCATCGTCCTCTAGAACTACGTCATCAGTGTTCCAAATTATAACACGCAGTTCAAAGCTGGACCACAGCACAGCATCGACACACAGGAGAGAGAGAGAGAGAGAGAGAGAGAGAGAGAGAGAGAGAGAGAGAGAGAGAGAGAGAGAGAGAGAGAGAGAGAGAGAGAGAGAGAGAGAGAGAGAGAGAGAGAGAGAGAAAGAGAGGACGACAAACAAACACGCAACACACGGAAAACGTGGAAACAAACAAAACAACAAAACAAAAAAGTAATGATTAACACCAAAAAACGCAGCACGCCACTTCGTCACACCCACGGGGCGATCGGGGCATAACGCCGAGGCCCTCTGTGGTACCTACCCCCTGACAAATATGTCACTGGACTTTTCCCCTGTGAAGTAATCATCGTCCTCCAGAATTACTTCATCAGTATTCCATATAATCACCCTGAGCTCATATCTGGTGAGGGGGGTGAAAGGAACACACACACAGTTGGACTGTTGTTGTCTAGTGCTTACTTCGCCCTGGAACGTGGCTGTACACTCCTATGGTAAGACATGTACCATCCCAGGTCTAGTGCTAGATAACCAACCTACTCTAATGAGATACAACACTTACCACAGAAAACCTGGAAGGGATATAAGTAGGAAAAGTACAAGTCCTTCTGATTTGAGACTCATACGGAGCCTTGCAAAAGTATTCATCCCCCTTGGCGTTTTCCCTATTTTGTTGCATTACAACCTGTAATTTAAATGGATTTTTATTTGGATTTCATGTAATGGACATACACAAAATAGTCCAAATTGGTGAAATGAAATGAAAAAAATAACTTGTTTCAAATAATTCTAAAAAATTAATAACAGAAAAGTGGTGAGTGCATATGTATTCACCCCCTTTGCTATGAAGACCCTAAATAAGATCTGGTGCAACCAATTACCTTCAGAAGTCACATATTTAGTTAAATAAAGTCCACCTGTGTGCAATCTAAGTGTCACATGATCTCAGTATATATACACCTGTTCTGAAAGGCCCCAGAGTCTGCAACACCACTAAGCAAGGGGCACCACCAAGCAAGCGGCACCGTGAAGACCAAGGAGCTCTCCAAACAGGTCAGGGACAAAGTTGTGGAGAAGTACAGATCAGGGTTGGGTTATAAAAAAATATCTGAAACTTTGAACATCCCACGGAGCACCATTAAATCCATTATTAAAAAATGGAAAGAATATGCCACCACAACAAACCTGCCAAGAGAGGGCCGCCCACCAAAACTCACGGACCAGGCAAGGAGGGCATTAATCAGAGAGGCAACAAAGAGACCAAAGATAACCCTGAAGGAGCTGCAAAGCTCCACAGCGGAGATTGGAGTATCTGTCCATAGGACCACTTTAAGCCGTACACTTCACAGAGCTGGGCTTTACGGAAGAGTGGGCAGAAAAAATCCATTGCTTCAAGACAAAAATAAGCAAACATGTTTGGTGTTCACCAAAAGGCATGTGGGAGACTCCCCAAACATATGGAAGAAGGTACTCTGGTCAGATGAGACTAAAATTGAGCTTTTTGGCCATCAAGGAAAATGCTATGTCTTGCGCAAACCCAACACCTCTCATCACCCCGAGAACACCATCCCCACAGTGAAGCATGGTGGTGGCAGCATCATGCTGTGGGGATGTTTTATATCGGCAGGGACTGGGAAATTGGTCAGAATTGAAGGAATGATGGATGGCGCTAAATACAGGGAAATTCTTGAGGGAAACCTGTTTCAGTCTTCCAGAGATTTGAGACTGGGACGGAGATTCAGCTTCCAGCAGGACAATGACCCTAAGCATACTGCTAAAGCAACACTTGAGTGGTTTAAGGGGAAACATTTAAAGGTCTTGGAATGGCCTAGTCAAAGCCCAGACCTCAATCCAATTGAGAATCTGTGGTATGACTTAAAGATTGCTGTACACCAGCGGAACCCATCCAACTTGAAGGAGCTGGAGCAGTTTTGCCTTGAAGAATGGGCAAAAATCCCAGTGGCTAGATGTGCCAAGCTTATAGAGGCATACGCCAAGAGACTTGCAGCTGTAATTGCTACAAAAGGTGGCTCTACAAAGTATTGACTTTGGGGTGGTGAATAGTTATGCACGCTCAAGTTCAGTTTTTAGTCTTATTTCTTGTCTGTTTCACAAGAACAAATATTTTGCATCTTCAAAGTGGTAGGCATGTTGTGTAAATCAAATGATACAAACCCCCAAAAAATCAATTTTAATTCCAGGTTGTAAGGCAACAAAATAGGAAAAATGCCAAGGGGGGTGAATACTTTCGCAAGCCTTCGTATAGGATCATAAATAAATAGCAAAACTTCAATCAAACCTTTCAGAAATGTTTAGGTTGTCCCTTGATCTATCTGTAATGTATAGCATATACTGTACCTCAGAGGAGGCTGGTGGGAGGAGCTATAGGATGACGGGCTCACTGTAATTGCTGGAATGGTATTAATGGAATGGAGTCAAACATGTGGTTTCTATTTGTTTGATGTGTTTGATACCGTTCCATTAATTCCATTCTAGCCATTACAATGAGCCTGTCCTCATATAGCTCCTCCCACCAGCCTCCACTGCTGTACCTACACTAAAAAGGTGCTATCTAGAACCTAAAAGGGTTATTCGGCTGTCCCCATAGGAGAACCCTTTGAAGTACCCTTTTTGGTTCCAGGTAGAAACGTTTTCCACAGAGGGTTCTACATTGAATCCAAAAGGGTTCTAGCTGGAACCAAAAAGGGTTCTCCTATGGGGACAGCCGAATAACCCTTTTTTCTAAGAGTGTACACTGACTGACACTTCCTCCAGCCCCAGACAGGACATACTTCTTTGGTTTACGTGGTGATATGTCGATGGCGGGTCCAGGTGCTGGCATGTCCATGGGGAACATGTCTACCCACATCTCAATCCGCCCCTGTGGGGTTAAACAGAGGTCATAACAGGTTATAACAGCTCATAACAGCTTCATTATCCGGCATTATTAATAATTGTACCCTTATAAGTCACTATATTGTTAATGAACTCAAAAGTGACCAACATTTATTAAACTACACTCTTAGTTCCAGATGAACCCTTATAATAACGTTATACTAATAATAAGTAGGAGTGTGTGTGTGTGTGTGACCTGTTCAATGCCAGGGTGGTCAGGGTTGAGCAGGGGTCTTGTCTCGACGTGTTCTGGGATGAGTTTACAGCCCACCCTGGGGATCTCCTCCCAGTGCTTCAGCACCGTCAGGGCCAGGTGCTCATCTGTCTGCTTCTTCAGACCTGTACACACACACACACACACACACACACGCACACACACACACACACACGCACAGTAAATACCAGGTCTCTGTAAATGTAGGCAAAGCTTAATAAATATATTTTCAACAGCACAAATGTATCATACTGTACGTCAACAACATACCATTCTCATCCTCGATCTCTGTAACACCCATGAAGATGCGGTTGGCGACCTTGACCCTGCCCCCGGGGCCGTAGTGGGGTCCGTCCAGCTTGCCCTCCTTACACAGCTTGGCCAGGATCTGGCTTGGCTTCATGGGGTCACGCCACACGTTGTAACCATGTCTACCAGGAACAAACAACAACACCAGACTGTTATCGATTTTTACTTTATTTTTTATTTTCTTAAATATTTTTGGGGAGACAGACAGACAGAGGAACAAACTAACAGACAGACAGACAGACAGACAATGGACAGTAAAACAGAATGACATGGACAGACAGACAGACAGACAGACAGACAGACAGACAGACAGACAGACAGACAGACAGACAGACAGACAGACAGACAGACAGACAGACAGGAACTCACACAGAGTAGTTGTTAGCGATGCCACAGGTAGCTCTGTGTTTGCTGTAGTAGCGGTTCTCCAGGTCAATCTTGGTCTCCCCGATGAGGTCATCAGTGCCCACCAGATCCCAGTCGTACACTGACACGGTCAACATGGACTCCATGGGGAATGTAGCCTCGATGTCAAATGCCCTGAGAGAGGAGGTGGAGGGAGTGGAGGGAGGGAAGGAATGAGGGAAGGAGGAATGGGAGTGGGGGGGGGGTAAACAGGAAAGGGAGATATGGAGAGAGTAGGGATGACATTTGAGATAAGAAGTGGTTAGCTTTTCATAGATTGAGCTGCCGATGCATCTATGCCAGTCACAAGAGTAAAGTAATGCTTCAATACACTTGATTGCAATTTTCTATATGAGTTGACTTGTTGAATCAGCACCAATGTGCAACCAATCCACACTCACTTGCCAAAGACAGGGTTGAGCTGTTTGGAGATGTAGTTCTCTTTATCCTTCAGCTCTGACTTGCCCAGTTTGATGACGACGTAGGGGTCCGCTTTCCCATTGACATCAGCAGGGTGGAGGTCTGTGGCCTGGAATACAGAGTTGTTTTTTTGTTATGGTTTAGGTTTTTATTTATGAATGTATTCCTACAATCTATTGAACCCTTATTTTACCAAGTGAGTTGACTGAGGATACATGATTAGGTCGCTGAAGTTTAAAGCAACAATCTGGGAAATATTTAGTTTATGGTTAGAGGTTAGGCTGTCACTCACCCTGACGACGAAGACGCGCACCATCACGTTGATAGGGTCGTTGTGTGGAATGCTCTGGAACATGCCCATGTTAGGGTCGAAGCCCACCTCCCGGGTGATCTCCTCAGACAGAGGCAACTTGTACATGCACATGGAGCCCTTGAACCTGCCCACGATCCTGTCGTCATCTAGTGCTGCTTCATCGTCGTCCCCTGCCTTCCCTCTGTACAGGTTGAAGGTGTGGAGCCAGTCCTCAAAGTTATCATACTCTGCCTCCAACTCCTTGTTGTACACCTGGACAGTACACACACGCGCAATGGTATCAGACACACTCTGAACGACAAGGTGTGTGTGTGTGTGTGTGTCCAGTGGAATCTCTAGGCCTACTGACCAGCAGCTCGTCCACTTTGGGTTTGCTGGAGCGTTTCTCTGTCCCCTCTCCTGCATGGTGACTCTTCTTCTTCTCCTTGTTCCTGCTCTTGTCTTGGCTCTTCTCCTTCCACTTGGAGCCTTTTACAGGGAGGTCATCAGGTTTGATATCTGATTGTGGGGAGAGTGGAAGGAGTGGAGGAGGGAGAGTGGAGGGGGGGGGCAGGGGAGGGGGGGGGGGGATTGATGGAGGAGGAGGGGTGAAGAGGGACGAAGGGATGGACACGACACAGCACCCCAGATGTCAATCAACATGAAAGTTGACATCTGACCCCTCTGGCCGTCCATTGCCAGGGCTACTGGGGGCCAGTATGAAAAATGTATGCACTCACTAATTGTAAGTCGCTCTGGATAAGAGCGTCTGCTAAATGACTAAAATGTCAATTGGATCACTACTGATATCCATGACATCATGAGTAATTAATTTAAAATGGAACATACAAGTAACTGCCAAAATAATGGAAACACTTGAGTAAATGAGGTGATACAAAGTATATTGAAAGCAGGTGCTTCCACACAGGTGTGGAAGCAATTAACATCCCGTCATGCTTAAGGTCATGCTGGGCAGGCCATTATTTTGGCCATTATTTTGGCTACCATGGCTATGCCCCTATAGGATGACAATGCCCCCATCCACAGGGCACGAGTGGCCACTGAATGAGCATGAAAACATATGCCATGGCCGTCTCAGTCACCAGATCTCATCCCTACTGAACATATCTGGGAGAATCTGGAGCGGCACCTGAGACAGCATTTTCCACCACCATCAACAAAACACCAAGTTATGGAATTTCTCGTGGAAGAACGGTGTCGCATCCCTCCAATAGAGTTCCAGACACTTGTAGAATCTATGCCAAGGTGCATTGAAGCTGTTCTGGTTCGTGGTGGCCCAACGCCCTATTAAGACACTTTATTTAGGTGATTCCTTTATTTTGGCAGTTACCTGTATTTGTAATCACAAGAGCCACATTATAATCTTTTCAAATTCTGGGAGAATATCTTAATAGGAATTTGGTAAACAAGAAATTGATATTTTTTCAAAGTTTTACACTTTGATTTAAAATTGAGTTCATGGTAATTAGTAGATGTATAGATTTATTTGATGTATCCACATTATTTGCTTGATAGAGAATCATTTATGGTTAAATCAGGGGATTAAGGGACAAAAGGATTGATTCGAAAAAGCCTTATAAGCATATAAGCAAAAGTTGCGTTCCTTAATGGTTTAGTTTATCAGCCAACTTTCATGGTAGTGCAAGGCAGGGTTGGTCATGCTGGTGTGAGGGGTCGATGGGTATGATATGAGGTCATGTTTTCATTCTACTTTAGGTGGTAATTGGGTCGGGGGTGCTAGGGATGAAGGATGAGAGTGAGGAGGGAGTGCAATGCATACAATGCCTTCACATGCTATACTTTACTCTGGTGCCCTCTCCACCAGTCTGCAAGCAGGCAGAGACAGACATTCTGATCCTATAGCTCATTCATCTCAAAAAGCACACACCAAAGCCATATACTACTCCCATTCTCATCCACTATTCAGAGCTGGCACAGAATCCTGTCATTCTGAGAGTCATGTTAGCCAACAGTTGCTCTATTTTGACGCTCAGCACTAGCAGGGTTTACCTGCTCCCTCTGCTGCTATCTCCTGGTCCTCCCTCTCCTCTGCCTCGGCCAGAACTGCCTCCTGAGCCCTGAGGATCTGGGAAACACAACTACACATCAGAATTATCCCCACAAGAAACACATGGAACTGACTTTATTCACTCCAGTTGTCTTATTGGAACTACTCAAACACTCTATTTCCAGAATATAACCATATTCATACGAGACAGAACATAAAAAAATAGCATAGAATAGAATAGAATAGAATAGAATAGAATTGAACAGAATCGATCTCTCACCTCCATCAGTGTCTCTATGGAAGCAAAATATTTGGACCACCAGTCCAGCATGCTCTCGTCTGTCTCATCATCCTCCTCCACCTCTCCCTTCTTTTTCTTCTTTTTCTTCTTCTTCTCTTCTTTCTCCTCCTCGTTCTGCGGGTACGAGAGAGAGCGTCTGATCAAACAAAGTGCTAACTAGCATAGTAGATCATAGTAGATGTTACAGGTGCGCATTGATGTCTGTCCACACTGTGAAGCTCTTTCAAATGTTGGGGGACAGATCCATGCCAGGACTTACCACATCAACTTTAACAACTGCATCAGACGTCTACAGGGGGAGGGTCACACAAAAACACACAAATGAAACACAAAATATATACATCTAAACAAAACATGAATTAATTTTACACCACACACAGGACCAGAGGTAAAGCCATCAACCTCAATTTTGTCCTTGAGGGCATCTCTTCTTCTGTCCTTTTCATTCCAAAAACATGAAATCAAAAGTGATAAACATCAGAGACACGTGTGTCAAAGCTTACAGCGTCTAGCTTCACCACCGTGTCCATCTTCCTGACTGAGGGGTCGGCATCCATGTTGACTGTGACATCACCTGCGGGGCGAGAGAGGGTGTGGGGTGGGGTGCGGGAGTAAGGGGAGCAGGGGCGAGATTGGGACCCCCCGTTGGTCACGACCATGTAGCCATTCATCAGTCTAGCTGGAAGGGGTCAGGGGAGTGACCGAGGAGGAACAGGACACACCAAGAAATGGAACGAGAGAGAGCAAGAGGGAGCAAGAGGGAGAGTGAGAGAGAGAAAGAGGGAGAGTGAGAGAGAGCGAGAGAGAAGACAGATTGGTACAGAGACAGGGAGAGAAGGAGAGGAGAGAAGGAGTGGGAAAAAGCAAAGAAGCATCAAAGTGAGCAAAGCAGTAGGAAATACAGATTCATATTCACAAGCAGGTCTGATTCAGTCTGAGAGGAAATCACAAACTGTTGAAAAGAATATGGAAGATTAGATTCTGAGAATATACAGTTTATACATATTAACAAATGTACACTACCGTTCAAAAGTTTGGGGTCACTTAGAAATGTCCTTGTTTTCGAAAGAAAAGCAATTTTTTTGTCCATTAAAATAACATCAAATTGATCAGAAATACAGTGTAGACATTGTTAATGTTGTAAATGGCTATTGTAGCTAGGAAACTGCTGATTTTTAATGGAATATCTACATAGGCGTACAGAGGCCCATTATCAGCAACCATCAGTCCTGTGTTCCAATGGCACGTTGCATTTGATAATCCAGGTTTATCATTTTAAAAGGCTAATTGATAATTAGAAAACCATTTTGCAATTATGTTAGCACAGCTGAAAACTGTTGTGCTGAATAAAGAAGCAATAAAACTGGCCTTCTTGAGACTAGTTGAGTATCTGGAGCATCAGCAATTGTGGGTTCGATTACAGGCTCAAAATAGCCAGAAACAAATAACTTTCTTCTGAAACTCGTCAGTCTATTCTTGTTCTGAGAATTGAAGGCTATTCCATGCAAGAAATTGCCAAGAAACTGAAGATCTCGTACAACGCTGTGTACTACTCCCTTCACAGAACAATGCAAACTGGCTCTAACCAGAATAGAAAGAGGAGTGGGAGGCCCCTGGTGCACAACTGAGCAAGAGGACAAATACATTAGAGTGTCTAGTTTGAGAAACAGACGCCTCACAGGTCCTCAACTGGCAGCTTCATTAAATAGCACCCGCAAAACACCAGTCTCAATGTCAACAGTGAGGAGGCGACTCCGGGATGCTGACCTTCTAGGTAGAGTTGCAAAGAAAAAGCCATATCTCAGACTGGCCAATAAAAATAAAAGATTAAGATGGGCAAAAGAACACAGACACTGGACAGAGGAAGATTGGAAAAAAGTGTTATGGACAGAAGAATCAAAGTTTGAGGTGTTCGGATCACAAAGAAGAACATTTGTGAGACGCAGACCAAATGAAAAGATGCTGGAGGAGTGCTTGATGCCATCTGTCAAGCATGGTGGAGGCAATGTGATGGTCTTGGGGGTGCTTTGGTGGTGGTAAAGTGGGAGATCTGTACAGGGTAAAAGGGAGGCTATCACTCCATTTTGCTACGCCATGCCATACCCTGTGGACGGTGCTTGATTGGAGCCAATTTCCTCCTACAACCCAAAAGCACAGCTCCAAACTATTTAAGAACTATTTAGGGAAGAAGCAGTCAGCTGGTATTCTGTCTATAATGGAGTGGCCAGCACAGTCACCGGATCTCAACCCTATTGAGCTGTTGTGGGAGCAGCTTGACCGTATGGTACGTAAGAAGTGCCCATCAAGCCAATCCTACTTGTGGGTGGTGCTTCAGGACGCATGGGTGAAATCTCTTCAGATTTCCTCAACAAATTGACAACTAGATTGCCAAAGGAGGATTCTTTGACGAAAGCTAAGTTTGAAGGACACAATTATTATTTCAATTAAAAATCATTATTTCTAACCTTGTCAATGACTACATTTCCTATTCATTTTACTATATTTCCTATTCAAACTCATTTAATGTATGTTTTCATGGAAAACAAGGACATTTCTAAGTGACCCCAAACTTTTGAACGGTAGTGTATATACTCATATAGTACAAATACATGGTATTGGATTCCCCACACCAATACAAAAATGTAATCTCTAGTAATATAAATAAAAAGCAGTAGAAAAGTGTCAGCCTACCTGGGCTGGCCCAGTTTTTGTGCGTCTTGCATAGTGTGAGTAGGCCTACCTGGGCTGGCCAAGTTTTTGTGTGTCTTGCATACTGTGAGTAGGCCTACCTTGGCTGGCCCAGTTTTGTGCGTCTTGCATAGTGTTAGTAGGCCTACCTGGGCTAAGCCCAGTTTTTGTGCGTCTTGCATAGTGTGAGTAGGCCTACCTGGGCTGGCCCAGTTTTTGTGCGTCTTGCATAGTGTGAGTAGGCCTACCTGGGCTGGCCCAGTTTTTGTGCGTCTTGCATAGTGTGAGTAGGCCTACCTGGGCTGGCCCAGTTGTTGTGCATCTTGTCTGGGGGGCTATAGATGAAGCGTCGCAGGCTGGTGACGGCGTGGGAACCCACCAGGGTGTAGCGGCCAAACGCTCTGCAGTCCACCACCCGGATGTTCAGAGGAGGGTGAAGCAGCTCATTCTCTGGCAGGTCCTGATGGGGTCAAGGGGCAAAGGTCAGGGGTCACGTAGAGAGTTAGGACAAGGGTCTATGAAGTTGCCCTGGCCTATACGCAAGATCTAAGGTCCGTTTTAATTAAACCAGCTTGAATCCATTCTATATGTACAGTATCTGCTGCCTTTCATTGTCTGAAAGGCCATCAAGATTTGACCTGGTTCTACTCACCACCTCGAACCACTTGACCAGGGTGCTGAAGTTGGGGTTCTTCTTGTAGTTCTGAATGAGAGCAGACTGGACTCCTCTCCCTGCACACTCTATGTCCACCCTGGGTCTGTCCACCTGGGCCAAATTCACCCTCTTCAGGTCCCTCAGGCCCCAGAACAGAACCTGGACCACAACACATCAGACTGGATCAGACCATTTGAACAGCACCCCAGATCTTATTTGGGGGTTGCCTTTAGCTCCCCTTACCTCCACCACCTGGAGCTGCGTTCCTCCTCCTTCCAGTTTCTAGCTTTGGGGTACTTTCTCTCTTTCTTCTAGTTACCATCCCTCTAGCTTGTAGTTTTACTACCCTCTCTGAGTGCTGTTCCCTAGTCATGGAGTGTTGTCTCACCTCTATGCGGTAGCGGCTGAGGATAGGTCGGATGCCCATGGGTACAGGGAGGATGGGTCCACAGTCTGAGTCTGTCAGACCATCGATGGGAGGAAGCTCCGCCCTCCCCCCTTGTCCAATCTACTCCAGGAAAAGAAGGGAGAGGAAGCAACAACCAACGTATACAACATACTGAGGAGATAAAATGACACTTAAATTACAAACAGCACAGTCATCATCAGTATTCAGCAATTAAAGGACCCAATATGTTTTGTTTTCCTAGTTTCCACTTTGGCTTTGTTCTGGACTTGTTTTGCAGAGGTACGGTAGTTAGAGAGAGTAGTTACAGAGCAAGACACTGAATAGAGATGGATGGGGCAGAGAGGGAAAACTTTATAGAATACACTTAGCAGAAGAAGACTTAGACTGACCAGAGTGACCATATAGTTGGACTGACCAGAGAGACCATAGAGTTAGACTGACCAGAGAGAACATAGAGTTAGACTGACCAGAGATATCATAGAGTTAGACTGACCAGAGTGACCATAGAGTTAGACTGACCAGAGTGACCATAGAGTTAGACTGACCAGAGATGACCATAGAGTTAGACTGACCAGAGAGACCATAGAGTTAGACTGGACCAGAGATGACCATAGAGTTAGACTGACCAGAGTGACCATAGAGTTAGACTGACCAGAGTGACCATAGAGTTAGACTGACCAGAGTGACCATAGAGTTAGACTGACCAGAGTGACCATAGAGTTAGACTGACCAGAGTGACCATAGAGTTAGACTGACCAGAGTGACCATAGAGTTAGACTGACCAGAGTGACCATAGAGGGATGCCCAGAGAGTACAGAGATTAGACTGGAGGACAGTAGAGTAGGACGATCCAGAGTGACCATATAGGGAGACTGAAGGGAGGACCAAGGTTGATGACAGGAGTGAGCAGTAGAGGTGAGGCTGGAGAGTAGGAGAGAGTAGGACGGCAGGAGAAGGACCAGAGAGGAATGGAGGAAGGAGTAGGAGAGGACCAAGTGATGGACGAGGTGAAGAAGGAGAGAGGCATGGAAGGGAAGAAGGAGAGGAGAGGCATGGAGGAAAAGGCAGGAGAGGCAGGAGGAAGAAGGGAGGAGAGGCATGGAGGAAGAAGGGGAGGAGAGGCCATGGAGGAAGAGGGAGGAGGATAGAGAGGGATGGAGGCATGGAAGTGAGAAGGGAGGATGGGAGAGAAGAAGGGAGGAGAGGCATGGAGGAAGAAGGGAGAGAGGCTGGAGGAAGAAGGAAGGAGAGGCATGGAGGAAGAAGGAGAGGAGAGGCATGGAGGAAGAAGGAGAGGAGAGGCATGGAGGAAGAAGGGAGGAGAGGCATGGAGGAAGAAGGGAGGAGAGGCATGGAGGAAGAAGGAGAGGAGAGGCATGGAGGAAGAAGGGGAGGAGAGGCAGGAGGAAGAGGGAGGAGAGGCATGGAGGAGAAGGAGGAGAGGCATGGAGGAAGAAGGAGAGGAGAGGCATGGAGGAAGAAGAGAGTGAGAGGCAATGGAGGGAAGAAGGACAGAGAAAGGCATGGAGGATAGAGAGAGAGGAGAGGCATGGAGGAAGAGGAGAGGAGAGGCATGGAGGAAGAAGGAGAGGCATGGAGGAAGAAGGACAGGAGAGGCATGGAGGAAGAAGGACAGGAGAGGCATGGAGGAAGAAGGGGAGGAGAGGCATGGAGGAAGAAGGAGAGGAGAGGCATGGAGGAAGAAGGAGAGGAGAGGCATGGAGGAAGAAGGAGAGGAGAGGCATGGAGGAAGAAGGACAGGAGAGGCATGGAGGTATTGTGGAAGGACGGACAATTAGATGAAATAGAAATGAATAACAGACAGATGAAGAGAAGGAAATATAGAGAGGGAAAGAAAGAGAGCCTTCTTTTCAAGATTTGCTGATGAATCAGCTCGTCACCGTGCTCCGTGCACAACTGTTCAGCAGTTGCATGTTCCATGCAATTGATAAATCTGTTGACGGTCATTCTCTACATCAGGGTTCTTCAATTCCGGTCCTGGAGGGCCGAAACACCTCTGTTTTTCATCCTCTCCTTCTAATCAGGGGCTAATTCAGACCTGGGACACCAGGTGAGTGCAATTAACTACCAGGTAGAAATAAAAAAAAGAAGTGTTTCGGCCCTCCAGGACCGGAATTGAAGAACCCTGCTCTACGTGATCCATTTGTCTAATAACTTCTTGTGTGTCGGTGTGTATTTTTCTTTCCATGCATGTCACTGGCATGCTCTTAGTGTGTTCCTGGCATGTTATTTAGTTCCTAGTGTATGTGTGTCACAAAAGGTTGGTGGCACCTTAATTGGGGAGGACAGGCTCGTGGTAATGGCTGGAGCAGAATCAGTGGAATGGTATCAAATACACATGGTTTGATGCTATTCCATTCGCTCTGTTCCTGCCATTATTATGAGCCGTCCTCCCCTCAGCAGTCTCCACTGGTGTGTGTGTGTGTGTGTGTGTGTGTGTGTGTGCACGTGCGTGCGTGTTCCTGGTGTATATACGTGCATGTTCCTGATGTGTGTGTGTGTGTGTACTTGCAGTGTGCACACATGTCTATGTGTGCGAGTGTGTGTGATCAGCTCACCTGCAGCAGCTCGAAGGCAGCCAGTAGGTCACCGGCGGTAGAGTTACCACGGTAGATCTGGTAGTACTCTAGCTGCGGAGGGAACCTCGGGGGGCAGTAGTGCTCGTCACACATCTTAGTGATGGGCTTAGCAAACGTCCGACCAATGAACTCTGCCTTGCCCTGGACGCCACAGAGACAACATTAGAAAGAAAAACAAAGTTAGAAACCTGTTTCTGGGGTGTATTTCTTGTCATGGCCACTGAGGGCCAGTGTAAGCACAGGCATAGTACTGAAAATGGTGTATAAAGTGGGTACTGTTCAGAGAACATGCTAGCTACTGTAAGGCTAACAGAATTTGAAAGAAGTCCTACCAGGGGTCATATCACTATGGGGTTCCATCAGTTTATGAGAAGCATGCATGACTGGTAGAGTAAACACTTCAACCAAACGACTGCAACCAACCAACTACTGTTTCAGCTATCAAACACAACCATGTCTACAACCACTACTGGAGGAATGCAAGAGGGACATGCTTATGGCTATGTCATGGACAGACTGCAAGCCTAGTTTGGGAATGCCCTGTAAAATAGCCTGTCCTACCTCTTGCATGACTTGAGGCCCCCATTATCAGCCAAATAATGATCATTTTGTGATTGATCTCTCTCTCTCTCTCTCTCTCTCTCTCTCTCTCTCTCTTCTCTCTCTCCTCTCTCTCTCTCTCTCTCTCTCTCTCGTCATACCACAGTGTCCTGGTCGTAGACTTCTACCACAATGATAGGTGGGTCATCTCGTAGCTCGCCGGCCTCCCCAAACAGCTCAACATCATCAAACACCAGCAGCTGGTCCCACGTAGGGCACAAAGTCTCACTCAGGACCTAAAACACACAGACACACAAGCATTAACACACATACACACACATACACACACACATACACACATACACACACACACGCACATGCACTCACACACTGGCACACACACATACACACATGCACATGCATGCACACACACCTTACCTCAGTGACCTGGCTATGTGTGGAGAAGAATACCCTGGCGAAGGGGTCTGACAAGCCACTGCTGTCTGCAGCAAACAGACTCCTGGCTTGGTACATATGAGCCCTCAGCTGGAACACCTGCTTCACTGCAGAGCAGAGAGAGGACACAGAGATGAGACAACACTCAGATACACAGCAGAGTAGAGAGAGGACACAGAGATGAGACAACACTCAGATACACAGCAGAGTAGAGAGAGGACACAGAGATGAGACAACACTCAGATACACAGCAAGCAGAAAGAGGACACAGAGATGAGACAACACTCAGATACACAGCAGAGTAGAGAGAGGACACAGAGATGAGACAACACTCAGATACACAGCAGAGCAGAGAGAGGACACAGAGACGCAAAGGTGTGAGCCATCAACACTTGAGTACATACTTCAATAAATGGGACTAGGTAATGGAGTGTGCAAATACACAACTTAGCTAACATATAAAGCATCTGCTCACTCACTATAGCCACAGTATATAGGGGTTACAGACTGTAAACAGACTTACTGTTATAGACAGTATGACAAAAAAAACTGTATGCACTCACTAACTGTAAGTCGCTCTGGATAAGAGCGTCTGCTAAATGACTATACTGTATAATGTAATAGACTAGACTGATGCGGGGTACAGACTGTAGACAGACTTACTGTTATAGACCAGACTGACGGGGGGTACAGACTGCAAACAGGGGCTTGTCCTGGGAGCCTTGTTCTCTTCAAAGCCATTGGGCAGGCCAGACAGGAAGTCCTTCCTCTGTTTGTTGAGGCCCAGCCACAGGTACATCTCCATCTTAGCCTGCACTGTCCATCCCGCAGGACCAAACCCCTTCTTACCAGGCAGCTGGGGACACAAACGTTAAAGCAACGTTATAGTGATATATAACTTTCATCAGCCATAGAAACATCTTAATCTTAGCTTGGGATCTAAAGACACAAGGCCAAAGACATACAACAGCAATACTAAGGTAAATTAACTTTCATCAGTTTGTTTGGGTTATAAAACAAAACAATGAGGGTGAGGAAGAAGCGGAGGGTGGAGAGAGCCAAGAAGGTTCACGTACCCTGAGGAAGACAGCTTTGACCTTGCCACAGTCCTTGCCTGTCTCCTCGTCTACGATGGAGTAGAGGATGTCTTTAGAGGGGATGCGGGCGTAGGCGATACGCTTGTTGTTACTCATCATCCATACAAACACATCTGGGATACTGTGCTGGGGCTGGAGGGCACAGAGGATATAGGTTCAACGTTTTATTGACACCCACATAGCAGTCAATACAGGCTGAAATTCATGTGCATAACATTAATAATATTGATCAACACAAGGATGCACACCCTTGTAACGGTGAATGACATTTTATGAGTGTAGTTTGTTGTTGCACAGTGGTACTCTTTACTGTACAAAGTGATTGGTTATTATTATGCTAGTGTTTTATAATGGAGAGCTAGGATCCACTGTTGGGAGGTTGCCTGTGCTCTCTCTATAAGGCTCTGTCAATGCAGCTAGAATGTGTTATAACAAAGTTGAGTGTAACAGAATCTGTACTGTACCTCGTCGGCAAGGAAACGGAGCCTGTGCAGGAAGTTCTGAACCATCTTCAGTTTGTCTCTAACTGTGTTCCTCTTCACCTGGGAGCGAATCAGCTTGGCCTGCTGCCCCATGCTCTCCTACAGAGAAGGATATGACAATATAAACATTCCCACACTGTGCTACACAAGGATAGATTCATAACCATAACAACTCTCGCCTTTACTCTCTCAGAGCAGCACTGTACCATCTCTCTCATGCAGGACTTGAGTCTCTCTTTGTCCAGTTTAGTTCTGCCTGCCTGGTTCTGGTCCTTGTTGGCCAAAGTGACGAAACGACTGAAAGTAAAAACACAGACACACATAGAGAAGATGTTTTGGTTGTCATCACTGTGTCTCTGGCTATGGCAGCCCAGTCACTGTAACAGCAGAAGTGATTATGGCTGTGGTATCAAATCAAATCAAATTTTATTGGCCACATCCGCCGTATACAACAGGTATTATATTATACATTACAGTGAAATGCTTACTTACAGCCCTTAACCAACAGTGCATTTATTTTTAATAAAAAAAGTAGAATAAAACAAAAAAGTGTTGAGAAAAAAAGAGCAGAAGTAAAATAAAATAACAGTAGGGAGGCTATATATACAGGGGGGTACCGGTGCAGAGTCAATGTGCGGGGGCACCGGCTAGTTGAGGTAGTTGAAGTAATATGTACATGTGGGTAGAGTTAAAGTGACTATGCATAAATAATTAACAGAGTAGCAGCAGCGTAAAATGATGGGGTGGGGGGGTGGGGGGGGCAGTGCAAATAGCCCGGGTAGTTATGATTAGCTGTTTAGGAGTCTTATGGCTTGGGGGTAGAAGCTGTTGAGAAGTCTTTCGGACCTAGACTTGGCACTCCGGTACCGCTTGCCGTGCGGTAGCAGAGAGAACAGTCTATGACTAGGGTGGCTGGAGTCTTTGACAATTTTGAGGGCCTTCCTCTGACACCGCCTGGTATAGAGGTCCTGGATGGCAGGAAGCTTGGCCCCAGTGATGTACTGGGCCGTACGCACTACCCTCTGTAGTGCCTTACGGTCGGAGGCCAAGCAGTTGCCATACCAGGCGATGATGCAACCAGTCAGGATGCTCTCGATGGTGCAGCTGTATACTTTTTTGAGGATCTGAGGACCCATGCCAAATCTTTTCAGTCTCCTGAGGGGGAATAGGCTTTGTCGTGCCCTCTTCACAACTGTCTTGGTGTGTTTGGACCATGATAGTTCGTTTGTGATGTGGACACCAAGGATCTTGAAGCTCTCAACCTGTTCCACTACAGCCCCGTCGATGAGAATAGGGGCGTGCTCAGTCCTATTTTTATTCCTGTCGTCCACAATCATCTCCTTTGTCTTGATCACGTTGAGGGAGAGGTTGTTATCCTGGCACCACATGGCCAGGTCTCTGACCTCCTCCCTATAGGCTGTCTCATCGTTGTCGGTGATCAGGCCTACCACTGTTGTGTCGTCGGCAAACTTAATGATGGTGTTGGAGTCGTGCCTGGCCATGCAGTCATGGGTGAACAGGGAGTACAGGAGAGGACTGAGCATGCACCCCTGAGGGGCCCCCGTGTTGAGGATCAGTGTGGCAGATGTGTTGTTACCTACCCTTACCACCTAGGGGTGGCCCGTCAGGAAGTCCAGGATCCAGTTGCAGAGGGAGGTGTTTAGTCTCAGGATCCTTGAGCTTTGAGGGCACTATGGTGTTGAATGCTGAGCTGTAGTCAATGAATAGCATTCTCACGTAGGTGTTCCTCTTGTCCAGGTGGGAAAGGGCAGTGTGGAGTGCAATAGAGATTGCATCATCTGTGGATCTGTTGGGGCGGTATGCAAATTGGAGTGGGTCTAGGGTTTCTGGGATAATGGTGTTGTTGTGAGCCATGACCAGCCTTTCAAAGCACTTCATGGCTACAGACGTCAGTGCTACGGGTCGGTAGTCATTTAGGCAGGTTATCTTAGAGTCCTTGGGCACGGGGACTATGGTGGTCTGTTTGAAACATGTTGGTATTACAGACTCAGTCAGGGACATGTTGAAAATGTCAGTGAAGACACTTGCCAGTTGGTCAGCACATGCTCGGAGTACACGTCCTGGTAATCCGTCTGGCCCTGCGGCCTTGTGAATGTTGACCTGCTTAAAAGTCTTACTCACATCGGCTACGGAGAGCGTGATCAGATAGTCATCCGGAACAGCTGGTGCTCTCATGCATGCTTCAGTGTTGCTTGCCTCGAAGCGAGCATAGAAGTGGTTTAGCTCGTCTGGAAGTCTTGTGTCACTGGGCAGCTCGCGGCTGTGCTTCCCTTTGTAGTCTGTAATTGTTTTCAAGCCCTGCCACATCCGACGAGCGTCAGAGCCGGTGTAGTACGATTCAATCTTAGTCCTGTATTGACTTTTTGCCTGTTTGATGGTTCGTCGGAGGGCATAGCGGGATTTCTTATAAGCGTCCGGGTTAGAGTCCCGCTCCTTGAAAGCGGCAGCTCTACCCTTTAGCTCAGTGCGGATGTTGCCTGTAATCCATGGCTTCTGGTTGGGGTATGTACGTACGGTCACTGTGGGGACGACATCATCAATGCACTTATTGATGAAGCCAGTGACTGTGTCTCCTCAATGCTATCTGAAGAATCCCGGAACATGTTCCAGTCTGTGCTAGCAAAACAGTCCTGTAGCTTAGCATCTGCGTCATCTGACCACTTTTTTATTAACCGAGTCACTGGTGCTTCCTGCTTTAGTTTTTGCTTATAAGCAGGAATTAGGAGGATAGAGTCATGGTCAGATTTGCCAAATGGAGGGCGAGGGAGAGCTTTGTATGCGTCTCTGTGTGTGGAGTAAAGTTGGTCTAGAGTTTTTTTTCCTCTGGTTGCACATTTCACATGCTGGTAGAAATTAGGTAGAACTGATTTAAGTTTCCCTGCATTAAAGTCCCCGGCCACTAGGAGCGCTGCCTCTGGATTTTCCTGTTGACTTATGGCCTTATACAGCTCATTCAGTGCAATCTTAATGCCAGCATTGGTTTGTGGTGGTAAATAGACAGCTATGAAAAATATAGATGAAAACTCTCCTGGTAAATAGTGTGGTCTACAGCTTATCATAAGATACTCTAACTCAGTCGAGCAAAACCTCAAGACTTCCTTAGTATTTGATTTTGTGCACCAGCTGTTGTAATGTTAGCTCACTTGCAGCCAGTGCTGAGTTCCTCCAGCACCCCTCGGAGTCGGCGTTCTGGATAGGCCTTCTCTGTCTTAATGATCTCCTGTACGTCATTCAGACCCTCCTCCTGTCAGACACAACCCATAAACACAAACAAGTGCATACAGTAATGCCTTGAGTTTATTGGGGTTCATCTAATTATTATCCTGCTGGTGCACATTCAACATGAGTAGTTACTGACCATTTTGTCTGCAATCTTGTCCATGATGTTGGAGTTGTAAAGTCGTCTCCTCTGGTCCTGCCACCAGCTCTTGATGTAGATACATGGCTTCTTCTCAAAGTAGGGCAGGTGGAAGTAGTTCCTGAGGTTGGCAAAATAAAAAAGGTTTCCAAAGGCTGTGTAGAATCGATATGATCTAGAGTGTTGACATTATCAGAGTCCCTCAGAGAATAAGATCAATGGTAACGGATTTCTTTCATATTTCTATTTTTTTCTACTTGCAGTGTACTTTGTACCATACAATTTTTTATCTACATTCTTTTAATGTTATAGTACTTTGTGACACATATCTGTATAGGCTACATTGTGTTCTATGAATAAGGAAGATCTAGACCAAGTGGTTCCCAGATTTATCTTGAGTTGTGACACGCCATAAGCAAAACAATATTTCTAGCCAGAACCCAGGCTTTAGATGTGACCCAGGAGGAACTGACAGAACATAACCCACCACCCCTGATCCTGACCCTTGAACCCCTGTCCTCTGACCTGTCTGTGATGACAGGTTTCATGGGAGGGGTGGAGGACACAGACACCAGATCCCCATCATCATCCACCTCGTCCTCACTGGAGTTCTGCTGGATCAGCTCTGACTCTTCCTCATCACTCTCTCCTCTTCCCTCTTTCTTCTTCTTCTTAGCTGCGGAGGGCTTGCTCACTCCGTCTATCTGGTTGCCGTAGTTTCCTGGGAGAAGGAAATGGGAAAAGTAGAGACAGTAGTAGAATTGTATGGTTGTGTTTTTGTTATTTACATGCCAAACATACAAATCATTGACTACTCTTTTTAGTCCAATACTAATGATAATTGAGTCTGTTAAGTTATTACTGTATACCCTGGAGTGTACTACTTACCTATTGTGACCTCGAAGCTGATTGGCTTATCGCCGATCTTCCTGTCGATCATGGTGGCCTCCAGGAAGGAACCAAATAGGAAGAATTCCTCTATTTTCCCTGTGGCACTCTGAACGACAGAATAAAGATAAATGGTAGCATCAAACCTGCTTTAATCCCATCTCTCACACAGACAGAATGTAGAATAAACAAATACAGTCCCATTCACCAACATACAGGTTTTTATTTTTGAACAAAAATATGATAATGCATGGCCCAATGTCGCAAGAATCTGTACATAATTCCTGGAAGCTGAAAATGTCCCAGTTCTTCCATGGCCTGCATAATCCCCAGACATGTCACCCATTGAGAATGTTTGGGATGCTCTGGATTGACGTGTACGACAGTATGTTCCAGTTCATGCCAACATCCAGCAACTTAACACAACCATTGAAGAGGAGTGGGACAACATTCCACAGGCCACAATCAACAACCTGATCAACTCTATGCGAAGGAGACATTGGGCCATACATTATCATGCATGAGGTGATTGTGGGGGATGAATGTGAGTGAGACTTTTAAGCAGGTCAACATTCACAAGGCCACAGGGCCAGACGGATTACCAGGACGTGTACTCCGAGCATGTGCTGACCAACTGGCAAGTGTCTTCACTGACATTTTCAACATGTTCCTGACTGAGTCTGTAATACCAACATGTTTCAAGCAGACCACCATAGTCCCCGTGCCCAAGGACACTAAGATAACCTGCCTAAATGACTACCGACCCGTAGCACTGACGTCTGTAGCCATGAAGTGCTTTGAAAGGCTGGTCATGGCTCCATTATCCCAGAAACCCTAGACCCACTTTGCATACCACCCCAACAGATCCACAGATGATGCAATCTCTATTGCACTCCACACTGCCCTTTCCCACCTGGACAAGAGGAACACCTACGTGAGAATGCTATTCATTGACTACAGCTCAGCATTCAACACCATAGTGCCCTCAAAGCTCATCACTAAGCTAAGGATCCTGGGACTAAACACCTCCCTCTGCAACTGGATCCTGGACTTCCTGTCGGGCCGCCCCCAGGTGGTAAGGGTAGGTAACAACACATCTGCCACACTGATCCTCAACACGGGGGCCCCTCAGAGGTGCGTGCTCATTCCCCCCTGTACTCCCTGTTCACCCATGACTGCATGGCCAGGCACGACTCCAACACCATCATTAAGTTTGCCGACAACACAACAGTGGTAGGCCTGATCACCGACAACGATGAGACAGCCTATGGGGAGACCTGGCCGTGTGGTGCCAGGATAACAACCTCTCCCTCAACGTGCAAAGGAGATGATTGTGGACTACAGGATAAAAAATAGGACTGAGCACGCCCCCATTCTCATCGACGGGGCTGTAGTGGAACAGGTTGAGAGCTTCAAGTTCTTGGTGTCCAACCCCCCCCCCTTTTTTTAAAGCTGCTGCTTTTATTATGATAGTCATTTAACTTCCAAAATGAATATTATTCAACTACCTAAAACACCGGTGCCCCGAAAATGACTCTGCCCCGGGACCCCCCGAATATAGCCTCCCACTGAATTTTTTCCCCTTTTTTTTTTGCAAACGGTTTTTGTTTTTTTTTTTTTTGAGGTTTTAAAGGGGTTTTTGAGAAAAAAAAAAGGGCAAGGGGGCGGAAAGGGAGAGGGCGAGGGAGAGGAGCGAGAAAGGGGGGGGCCCGGCGGCGGGGGGGGGCCCCCCCCAAAAAGGGGGGGGGCCCCCGGGGGGGGGGCCCGGGGGGGGGCGAGGGGAGGGGGGGGGGGGGGGGGGAAAAAAAACCCGGGGAAAAAAAAAGGGGGGGGGGGCCCGGGGGAAAAGGGGGGGGGCGGGGGGGCCCCCCCCGGGGCCTTCCCCCCCCGGGGGGGCCACCCCTGTCCGCATCTCCTCTGCCTTCCCCTCTCTCTCTCTCTCTCTCTCTCTCTCTCTCTCTCTCTCAGTCAAACTGATATCAATAACTTACTTCACCCAGGGGAGACATTAGGTAGGCATTAGCTAAGCAAAGAGACAGCCAAGGGATAGTTGGCTACTTAGCCTGGGGTAACAAAGCTGATGCTATTGATTTCCAGTTACTTCATGTGGAATAGAGTTCCATGTAATCCTGTGCGCTTCCCATAGTCTGATCTGGTGGCATGTCTGGTGGGGTATGCATGGGTGTCTGAGCTGTGTGCTATTCATTTAAACAGACAGCTCGGTGCTTTCAACATGTCAATACCTCTCACAAATACAAGAGGTGATGAAGTCAATCTCTCCTCTAATTTGAGCCAGGAGAGATTGACATGCATTTTATTAATGTTTGCTCTCTTTGTAGATCGAAGGGCCAGCTGTGCTGCCCTGTTCTGAGCCAATTGCAATTTTCCTAAGTCCCTCTTTGTGGCACCTGACCACATGACTGAACAGTAGTCCAGGTGTGACAAAACTAGAGCCTGTAGGACCTGCCTTGTTGATAGTGATGTTAAGAAGGCAGAGCAGCGCTTTAATATGGACAGACTTCTCCCCATCTTAGCTATTGTTGTATCAATATGTTATGACCATGACAGTTTACAATCCAGGGTTACTCCAAGCAGTTTAGTCACCTCAACTTGCTCAATTTCCACATTATTTATTACAATATTTAGTTGAGGTATGGGTTTAGTGAATGATTTGTCCTATATACAATGCATTTCGTTTTTTGAAATATTTATGACTAACTTATTCCTTGCCACCCATTCTGAAACTAACTGCACCTCTTTGTTAAGTGTTGCAGTCATTGCAGTCGCTGTAGTAGCTGACGTGTATAGTGTTGAGTCATCCGCATACATAAACACACTGGCTTTACTCAAAGACAGTGGCATGTCGTTTGTAAAGATTGAAAAAAGTAAGGGGCCTAGACAGTTGCCCTGGGGAATTCCTGATTCTACCTGGATTTTGTTGGAGAGGCTTCCATTAAAGAACACCCTCTGTGTTCTGTTAGACAGGTAACTCTTTATCTACAATATAGCAGGGGGTGTAAAGCCATAACACATATGTTTTTCCAGCAGAAGACTATGATCGATAATGTCAAAAGCCGTGCTGAAGTCTAACAAAACAGCCCCCACAATCTTTTTATCATCAATTTCTCTCAGCCAATCACCAGTCATTTGTGTAAGTGTTGTGCTTGTTGAATGTCCTTCCCTCTAAGTGTGCTGAAAGTCTGTGGTCAATTTGTTTACTGTAAAATAGAATTGTATCTGGTCAACCACAATTATTTCCAAAACTTTACTAAGGGTTGGCAACAGGCTGATTGGTCGGCTATTTGAGCTAGTAAAGGGGGCTTTACTATTCTTAAGTAGTGGAATTACTTTTGGTTCCCTCCAGGCCTGAGGGCACACACTTTCTAGTAGGCTTAAATTGAAGATATGGCAAATAGGAGTGGCAATATTGTCCGCTATTATCCTCAGTAATTTTCCATCCAAGTTGTCATTGTTGATAGACAACAATTATTTGTTCACCTCTTCCACACTCAATTTACAGAATTCAAAATTACAATTCTTGCCTTTCATAATTTGGTCAGATATACTTGGATGTGTAGTGTCGGTGTTTGTTGCTGACATGTCATGCCTAAGTTTGCTACTCTTGCCAATGAAAAAATAATGAAAGTAGTTGGCAATATCAGTCGGTTTTGTAATGAATGAGCCATCTGATTCAATGAATGACGGAGCTGAGTTTGCCTTTTTTTGCAAAATGTCATTGAAGGTGCTCCAAAGCTTTTTACTATCATTCTTTATTCCTTCTCCATGGCCGACGTGAGTAAGACATGTAAGCATGCTAACCCTCGCAAGGCTGCCGGCCTAGAAGTAATCCCTAGCCACATCCTCAGAGCATGCGCAGACCAGCTGGCTGGTGTGTTTACGGACATATTCAATCTCTCCCTATCCCAGTCTGCTGTCCCCACATGCTTCAAGATGGCCATTATCCCTGTGCCCAAGAAAGCAAAGGTAACTGAACTAAATGACTATCTCACTTCTGTCATCATGAAGTGCTTTGAGAGACTAGTCAAGGATCATATCACCTCTATCTTACCTAATTCATCATTAGAAAACCCTTTTGCAAATATGTTAGCACAGCTGAAAACTGTTGTGCTTATTAAAGAAGCAATAAAACTGGCCTTCTTGAGACTAGTTGAGTATCTGGAGCATCAGCAATTGTGGGTTCGATTACAGGCTCAAATTGGCCAGAAACAAATAACTTTCTTCTGAAACTTGTCAGTCTATTCTTGTTCTGAGAAATGAAGGCTATTACAGGCGAGAAATTTCCAAGAAACGGAAGGTCTCGTACAACACTGTGTACTACTCCCTTCACAGAACAGCGCAAACTGGCTCTAACCAGAATAGAAAGAGGAGTGGGAGGCCCCGGTGCACAACTGAGCAAGAGGACAAATACATTAGAGTGTCTAGTTTGAGAAACAGGCGCCTCACAGGTCCTCAACTGGCAGCTTCATTAAATAGTACCCGCAAAACATCAACAGTGAAGAGGCGACTCCGGGATGCTGACCTTCTAGGCAGAGTTGCAAAGAAAAAGCAATTTCTCAGAATGGCAAATAAAAAGAAAAGATTAAGATGGGCAGTCTGAGATATGGCTTTTTCTTTGCAACTCTGCCTAGAAGGTCAGCATCCCGGAGTCGCCTCTTCACTGTTGATGTTTTGCGGGTACTATTTAATGAAGCTGCCAGTTGAGGACCTGTGAGGCGCCTGTTTCTCAAACTAGACACTCTAATGTATTTGTCCTCTTGCTCAGTTGTGCACCGGGGCCTCCCATATAGATTGCAAAATAGTTGGGAAGAGATTTTTGACGTACCGATTCCATGGCATAGTGTTTATGAACTGATACGCAAAACGATGCCGGATTCAAAACTTAGAATTTTTCAATTTAAATTATTATATAAAATTCTTGCTACCAATAGAATGTTATTTGTATGGGGGATACAATCTTCCCAGATCTGCAGATTTGGCTGTGAAGAGACAGAATCATTAGATCATTTGTTTTGGTACTGTCCATTTGTAGCTTGTTTCTGGACACAGGTCCAGGAATGGCTGAAGGATTGCAATATTTGCATGGAGCTC